GAATTAGGTTCTCATTGACTCACACATTCAAAACAAGCAAACCAGCAAAAAAGGATCAGATTTGTCAGCACACCTCAGATAATGTGCTAGAGCTGTCTGGAGTTTTGTATGAAATAGATTTATTAATTCATTGTGGCACAGATGGGAAACAGTGACTTGAAAGGAAATTGAGTAAAGTCTCATGATTTACTTTCTGTTTTACTAAAGAACTTTTTTGGAAAGACATCCATACTGGGTTTCAAAGCTCAGTGGCGCCATTTACATCAAACCACGAAGCACTTCAGAATACACTCTCTGTGACAGACATCTTAGGAAGGGTATCTAATCATTGAAGCTTACCAAGATAATGCCTTTTGCCCCAATCTTGAGCCACATTTCAGACTCACTAGCTCCCAATACAAATAAATCTCCAAATTCAAAAGCAAATGCCTTTTAAAATGTCATACCTGTGAGCTTAAGAATCAGAATGCACTAAAGATTATTGAAATGATAACCCATCTACATCTCCAGAGGTAGATGGATATGTGGAGGTTTTATTTATTTATTTTTATTTTTTATTTTTTGGTCCGGTTATGGGGCCTGAACTCTGGGCCTGAGCACTGTCCCTCAGCTCTTCAGCTCAAGGCTAGTGCCCTACCACTTGAGCCACAGTGCCATTTCCGACTTTTTTCTTTTTGCTTATGTGGTGCTGAGGAATCGAACCCATGGCCTCAGGCATGCAAGGCAAGCGCTCTACCACTGAGCCACCTTCCTAGCCCTATGTGGAGGTTTTACTTGAATCCAAAAAACAAAAAATCAAGAAAGTTCTTTGCACATTTCCAGTCTATATATGAAGGTAAAGAAATAATGAGACAGTTATATAACCATTTTAAGAGTCCCACCATCCAGGCCTTTAACTCTTCATAAATGGAACACAAATAATATAGCTGTCACTATTTATAATCAAGAATGTAATGCTTAAATCTTCTGGCATTATGAAAGTATGTGTGTTGTGGCTGCATTGAAGTGTTCAGCTATAAAAATTTCACCTTTTTGTTCAGCAGAGAAATATCAATGATATTGGTGGCTGAATTCCTACCATAATTCCCCAGGCACTTCTACTGAATTGGAGATGATTCACCTTTAAGTGGCTGTGCAGGTGTTCACTGGGCCAAACAAAACAGAGAAATCAGCTTCTATTCATTTTGTCCTTCTCTGAAGCACACTTTCAGTGAAATTTCTCGGGGGGGGAAAAAAGCATCAAAATATATGTATGTAAGTCCATAGAACATCCATTCAGACAGTGAATCTGTACCCGTGGCTGAGATGTGAAGACTGGATCATGTCTATTTCATCACAACAAATGGAACTGAATTCCTCTGTACTAAGTAAGAAAGGGGAAGAATTCTAAATCTCAATTGCATACGGTACTGAACCACATAAACAAGACCAATTGTAGTGTTCAAACAAAATGGGTGCCGAGAGAATCAAGTGACACACCACTCACCAGTGATGTAGACAGAACAGAGAGCCAGCCTGGTGCTTAATGAGGAAGACACTATTGGATATCTGTGGCTTATGGGCAGGAACATATGTGTGGCTGTGAGAGGAGCAGCCTCTGGGACTGGATTTTAGGCACTTACCCACTTCTCATCCCCTGCTTGAATTTTGCCTAGACAATGGACAGCCCAGGTGAGCAGTGCTCTCTAATCTAAGCAGCTGTTGGCAATGGTCTCTCTATGGTAGGATTTTTCTTTAATAGTTTTATTAAAATTTGAGACAGAGCCATGCTAGTGGTTCATGCCTGTAATCCTAGCTACTCAGGAGGCTGAGATCTGAGGACCATAGTTCAAAGCTAGCCCAGGCCATAAAAGTCCCTGTGAGACTCCAATTAACCACTCAAACCTGGAAGTGGCACTATGGCTCAAGTGGTAGTGCTAGCCTTGAGCACAAAGAGGCTCAGGGACAGAGCCCAGGCCACAAGTTCAAGTCCCACAACTGACATAAATAAATAAAGAGCTCAGAGATAGCACCGAGGCCCTGAGTTCAAGCCCCAGAACCAGCACAGAAAGAAAATAGAAAGAAGGAAGGAAAGAAGGAAGGAAGGAAGGAAGGAAGGAAGGAAGGAAGGAAGGAAGGAAGGAAGGAAGGAAGGAAAAGAAAGAGAAAGAAAGAGTTAAGACAGAAGTACCATGTAGTCCTACTATAGCACTCTAGGACACATATCTGAAGGAATGTAAATCAATGTATCGTAGAGATAGCAGCACACTCATGTTTAAAGCCACAACATGCAATCAGCTGAGGTGCCCATCAACTGATGAATAAAGAGAATATGGTACATATGCGTGATGGAGTATTATTACTCAGCCATAAATAAGCATGCAACTATGTCATTTGTAGGAAAATGATGGAACAAGGCATCACCATGTAGAGAAAAATAAACTACACCAAGAAAGTTAAATACAGCATGGTCTTTCATATGTGTGGAATCTAGTTCTTAAAAAACAAAATGACAAGAATGCAAAATAGCTTCTGTTTGTGGGTGGGAGCCAGTGGGAGGTGGAGAAGGAAAAAGTATGGAGGTGAATATGGCTGAAATATGCCATATACATGTATGAAAATAGAACAATGAAATCTGTTGAAATTGCTCTCAGAAGGCAGGAAGGCAGGAGAGGAAGAGTTTGATTAGGGTACATTGTGCACTTGTATGGAAATATCGCAATGAAACTCCTTTAGACAACTAATACATGATTTATGAAGATATCGGGTAGCATCATTCTTATCTGTTGGTTAGTATTTGCCACATATCTCGCTTCTTACATGGAGAGACAAAGAAAGCAAGGCTACCTTCCATAAGTCCTCAGTCTGAGGATGAGGAGACGCAGGAGGCAGACCTGAGTGAACAGCTGGCTGGTGGGATAGGGCTAGGTCTTGGAATCGGGACACTTAAGGTAAACAATAGAACGTTCTTTATATATGAGCCTCTTTGCAAAGTGATAAAGATGCTGATTAAGAAAATAATTCTGAAAGCAATATAGATGTATTAGAGCAAGGAAAATTGGTGTTACACCAAGCTGAAGATTATATAAAAACTGTGAAACTAAATATGTTTGCATCACCTTAGAGTTTGCAAAGAGTTATGGCCACATGTCAGTGTTCTCATCTGACCCATTCATTGCTGTTAGCATGATTTTATCCTGGATAACTGTGGAATAGAAACCTGGTGAGGGAAAGTGCAGAGGAATGTTGTGGAATAAGGGGAAGGGATTTGATGACTGGTAGGATAGAGATGACTAAAAAATAAAACAAAATCAGACACCAGTGGCTCATACCTATAACCTCAGCAACTCAGAAGACTGAGATGAAAAAGATCACAATTGAAAGTCAGCCTCAGGCAGAAAAGTCCTTGAGACCCTTATCTTCAGTTAACCACCCAAAAACTGGAAGTGGAAGTGTGCTGGTAGTGCTCTAGCTCTAGAACATCTGCCTAGCAAACACTAAGCTCTGAGTCCCAACCCCAATTTCACATAAAAGTATAACAATCCAATCACCTATACACAGGAACATGACATTTACATTGAGCACAGAACTCAAACTAAAATGCTTCACTATAATCACATTCCTTCAGCTTACCTTTGTGTGTGTATGTTCTGGAATGTAGGCTTGAACTTGGGATTCTACCACTTGAGTCAGGCACTTTGCTGGTTAATTGTAGATGGAGTATTGTAGACATTTTCTACTTGGGCTGACTTCAAACTGAAATTCTCCAGATCTTAACCTTCTAAGTAGCTAGGATTACAGAGCCATCAGCACCCAGCTACTTGTTCTGTATGTTCCTTTGTTATCGGGATCCAATAAACCTTGTTTCCCTCTTAGATACAAAATCATGTTTAACCTGTGCTAGTGCCTAGGACACATCGCCCTCTGACCTGCTCTCTAATCTCATTTAAAAATCCTCCAAGAGGAGACCCTGGACCCAATTTCTGCTTTTCATTCTTTCTTGATCAAGTAAAGAAAGCAAGACAAGTTAAAGTACCCAATAAAGTAACTAGTATATGCATAACAAAATCCCAAACCTCTTTCCAAATAGTAGTTTACCATATAGCTTGTTTCTGACAGCTCTGAACTTCTTCCTGCATATTGACCTGCTTGCCAGACATGTACTCACTAGGCTGCATATGATGCAGACCACTAGCAACCCAAAGCTCCAAGGGGAGCATTCTAACTCTTCTCTGGTTGTAAGCCTTCTTCTTTTTTCTTTTCTTTTTTCTTTTTTTTTGTTGGTCATGGGGCCAGAACTCTGGGCCTGGGTGCTGCCCTTCAGCTCTTCAGCTCAAGGCTAGCGCTCTACCACTTGAGCCACGGCGCCACTTCTGGCTTTTTCCGCTTATGTGGTGCTGAGGAATCGAACCCAGGGCCTCATGCATGCAAGGCGCACTCTACCACTGAGCCACCTTCCCAGCCCTCAGCCTTCTTTTTAAAAGACATGGAATTATACAAGCAAGAAGTGCCAGAATTTCATCCTTTTTGCCAATAAATTGACAAAAAAAGAGACCCATGAAAGCCAGGCACTGGTGGCTCACACCTGTAATCCTAGCTACTCAGGAAGCTGAGATCTGAGGATCACAGTTTGAACTCAGCCCAGGCAGAAAAGTCTGTGTGATTCTTTTCTCTGATTAACCCTCCACCTTCCCCTTTTCCCCAAAAAACAGAAATGGAGGTATGACTCATGTGATAGAACACTAGCCTTGAGTGAAAAAACTAAGGGAGAATGCCCTGGCCCAGAGTTCAAGTCCCAGTCCCAGCACAGAGAGAGAGAGAGAGAGAGAAAGAGAGAGAGAGAGAGAGAGAGAAAGAGAGAGAGAGAGAGAGAGAGAGAGAGAGAGAAATCAGAGATCCATGAGAACATGGGCAGAAGCGATTTCTTTCCAGTCATGGAGTTGACACTGGGGAAGAAGTTTGGATCCTGCAGATTTCTGATAAGAAGGGCCATGCATTGTCTTTCTCCTCTCCCCATCTAGGATTGTGAAGATGTCCAGCCCTAATCTGAACGTGGTAACCTTACTTGGCAGTTGTCTGACTTACAGTAGCGCTTACCTTTTTGGGATTCAAGATGTCTTAATGGGGAGCTCAATGGAAACTCTCATTCAGGTGGGTGATGTTTTGAAATTCTGTTTGGAATATAATATGATCATTTTTTGTTCATTCTTTGCTTCATGACTGCGTGGTTCCTTGCATCCTTGGTATGGGCACCAGGAGGAGGAAAGTACACAGTGAGGCCCACTTTCTTCCCCACGCCCTCCGTGGGCCTGAGCAGCTCAGAATGCATGGAGAACCAATGCGGGGTGCTCTGTGACTCACTTTTATCCCCTTCCACCTGCAGGTGAGGCTGTCCCTGCTGTGCATTGGGACCTCCCTGGTGTTTGGCCCCCTTCTGGGGAAGAGCTGGAGACTCTACAAGGTGTTTACCCAGCGGGTCCCAGACAAGAGAGTGGTGAGTAGGTATCAAGGGTTGGATTACAGATGGCAGCTTCACAGTAGATCAAAAATTGGAAAAGGTGGGCCTCACCCCTTTAGAACAATTTAAAACTTTTGTTCTTCACCTCAAACCTCCAAGCCATGTGGTCTCATGAAGCTCCAGGCCTGAGGAACCACACCCCTTTATTTTATCAGCTATCGAGACCTAAAGCCTGACTGACCATCAGCTTCTTTGGCTAGAGGCCAAAGAAGACCTAGTAGATCATTCAATCTTTTCTTTGGAATGATGGCTTTTTTTTAATTTTATTTTATTTTTTTGCCAGTCCTGGGGCTTGAACTCAGGGCCTGGGTACTGTCCCTGAACTTCTTTTGCTCAAGGCTAGCACTCTACCATTTGAGCCACAGTGCCACTTCCGGCTTTTTCTGTTTATGTGGTACTGAGGAATCAAACCCAGGGCTTTATGCATGCTAGGCAAGCACTCTACCACTCTACCACTAAGCCACCTTCCAAGCCCATTTTTTTTGGTGGGGGGGGAGGTCTGGCCGTGGGGTCTGAACTCTGGGCCTGGGTGCTGTCCCTCAGCTCTTCAGCTCAAGGCTAGTGCTCTACCACTTGAGCCACAGTGTCACTGCTAGCTTTTCTTTTTTCTGCTTAGGTGGTGCTGGGGAATCGAACCCAGGGCCTCATGCATGCAAGGCAAGCACTCTACCACTAAGCCAACTTCCCAGCCCATCAAGCCCATTTTTTATTTTTATTTTTTAGCAAACATTATTGAGTCATGATGAATATCAAAACCTTAGCAGTGAAGATTGCCTCTTAGGTCAAAAACTTCATCTGTCTCTCTAAAACACTGATTCTTTTTTTTTCAAAAATAGCTTTTTAGAGACATAATTGACATGCAATGAAGTGCATATATTGGGAACAGATGATGTGATAAGTTTTGACATATGTAGACCCCATGAAACATGATGTGCAATGAACATGTCTACCAACCCCTACATTTCCTCCAGCTTCTCTCCTGCTCCATCCTTCTAGCCCCTGCCCCTGACCTCAGGCCAGCACTGACTTACTTTCTGTCATTATAGATTAGTTTGCATTTTCCAGAGTTTTATATAAATGGAACCATACAATATATACTTTTTGTGTGTCTGGCTTAGTTTACTTGCATGGTTATTGTGATGAATTTTGTAGTCATTCTTGTATGTACTGTTTGCTAGGCCTTAAACCACAGTCCTCTCAGTCTCTATTACAGGGATGAGCCACAACACCTAGCACAAAGTTCTTTTTGTTGTTGTTTTTGTTTTTGTTTTATTTTGGGTCGGGTCGTAGGCCTGAACTCTGAGCCTGGGCGATGCCCCTCAGCTCTTCAGCTCAAGGCTAGCGCCCTACCACTTGAGCCACAGTGCCACTTCCAGCTTTTTTTTTTGCTTATGGGTGCTGAGGAATCGAACCCAGGGCCTCAAGCATGCAAGGCAAACGCTCTACCACTGATCCACCTTCCCACCTAGTGCAAAGTTCTTATTTTTTACTTACAATCCCATTGGTTCCTATATTATCTGTTGAGAAGTCTATCCTTTCCTCATTGAATTATTCTTGCATCTTTGTCAAAAATTGTATTACCTTGATTTCTGTAGCTTTGTATTAAATCTTGTGGTGTTAGTTTTCCAATAGTGTTATTCTCTTCCCGTGTTGTTTTGGCTAATCTATTTATTTCCATTAATTAATGTCATGCTGGTACTCAGGCCTTGTGCTCTCATTTGGCCTTTTCTGGTCATGGCTGGTGCATTTGAGCCATGCCTCCACTTCCAGCTTTTTGCTGGCTAATTGGAAATAAGAGTGTCATTTTTTTGTCTTCCTGGGCTCCGATCTCAGCCTCTTGTATAACTAGGATTATAAGCCTGGGCCACCAGCACCCAGCTCCATAGAAATTCTTTAAATCACTTTGTCAATCTCTGTAAAATTTCTTTGGGGATAGTATGCAATGCATAGATTAAGCTGTAGAGAATTGATTTCTCAGCAATGTGCTTTTTGATCCACAAACACAGTATGTTTAGGTTTTCTTTGATTTGTTTCTAGGTTTTCCTTGATTTCTCTCAGTATTTTTGTTTTTCACCAAAGCTCTTTGACAATTTTAACAGCTTGTTTCTACCTTTGATGTTGTCATGCTATCAGGCATGTTGTGCTTTTATTTTACTTTCAAGTTCTTTCTCATATACAGAAATATAGTTGATTTGTATCTGCTGATCTTAAATGCTGCATCCTTGCTAAACTACATATTAGTTCTCCAAGCTTTTTTCATAGGAAAACCCATCTGATTTTCTACCTAGATCAGATCACCTATGGACACAGGACAGGTGGCTCCAGCTACCAATAATGATACAACCTCCAATAGAGATGGTAGAAGCCAATGCTCTTGAGTTATTCTTGATCTTGAGGAAAATGTTCACCTTTTTAATACTAAATAAGCATGGCTGTTAGCTAAGGCTCTATCACAGATGCTGCTTATCCACTTCGAGAAGTTCTTGCTTATTCTAATTTTTCAGAAAGTGTCCATATTGTTGGGGTTTTCATTTGTTTGTGTCAGTACTGGTGCTTGAACTCTGGGCTTGGGCACTGTCCCCTAGCTTTTTCACTTGAGGCTGGTGCTCTACCATTTGAGCTATAGCTCCATTTCTGGCTTCTTGCTAATTAATCGGAGATGAAACTCTAATGGACTTTTCTGCTTTGGCTGCCTTTGAATCTCAATCATCAGATCTCAACCTCCTGATCTCATCTAAAATTAAAGGCATGAGCCAGCCAGCAGTGTCCAGCTTTGGAAAGTTTTAATAAAGATTTAATATTGAATTTTTTCCAGAGTTTTTTTTTCTCTCTGCCTATGAAATGATCATATGGTTTTTCTTTTTTAGTTTGTTTGTATAATGGGTTATGTCAAATGATTTTTATGATGTGAAATCAACCTTGTGTTTCTGAGATGAATTCCATTTAGTCCTGATGTATTATTCTCTTTGTATATTGTTAGACTTGTTTTTATAAAATTTTGCCTAGAATTGTGATCTGATTGGATATCTAAGTTTCTTTTCTCATGATATCTTTTCTTAGTTTTGGTTTTAGAGTAATAATAAGTTAAGGTGGCTCAGTGGTAGAGTGCTTGCCTTGCATGCATGACCCCTGGGTTCAATTCCTCAGCACCATATAAGCAGAAAAAGCCGGAAGTGGCGCTGTGGCTTGAGTGGTAGAGTACTAGCCTTGAGCTGAAGAGCTGAGGGACAGAGGCCAGGCCCAGAGTTCTGGTCCCACAACTGACAATAACAACAAAAAGTTAAAAAAAATAAACCATGTTTTCTTCTGGTATCATTTCCCTTTTACCTGAAAAACATCTACCATGTATGCGTATCTGTATGTCTGTGTCTGTGTGTATGTTCAAGAGCCAGATTATTTCTGCTTTTATATAACTGAAAATATTGCCTTTGAGTGCCTCCATCTCCTTCTTTTTCTTCTTTTTCTTTCTCCTCTAGTCTTTCTCTCTCTCATTTCTTCTTCCCCCTCATATCCATAATAGGCAACAATTCACTGAAAGATAAATTTCTGAGTATAGAAGTCTAGACTGAGGCTTCTCTGTTCCTTTCTTTTTATCAGTATTTTGCAATTTTCCCTCCCTTGTCTTCTCACTTGGTCTAGTGTCTTATGGGACGTCTGATATCTTTCTTCTCTTGTTTCTCTGCATAAAATGGGTGTGTGCACGTGTACATGTACACATGTGCACTCGTACTAGGACTTGAACTCAGGGCCTCAGCCTTTTTGACTTCCTTGTTCAGAGCGAGCGCTGTACCACCTTAACCATGCCTCCAGTCTGGCTAATACGACCTCTTTCTCTGGTTGCTGTGAAGAGTTGCTGATTTTGAGTGGATTAGGCAGTGGATTCATTTTTATCCAACAAACATGGTGAATTGTGTAGCTACTTGTGGTTCTTTTTTCCATCCGTTGGCAAATGCTCAGCTCTCCATCCCTGCTTCAGTTCATCAGTGCTGCCAATGCGCCTCCCTAGGCCTTCACCACAATTCTTATTTCCTCTTTTACAGTCATTTTTCAGTGTTCTATCCTGTCATAGGTAGGTAATTTTCCTAAGTTTCAGAGTTGCAAAAGTAATATTCTCTTCATATTAAGTCCAAGAGTTATGAACATAAAAACAATAAGCTGGGCGCTGGTGGCTCATGCCTGTCATCCTGGTCTCAGGAGGCTGAGATCTGAGGATCATGGTTCAAAGCCAGCCCAGGCAGGAAAGTCTGTGAGACTCTTATTTCCAATTAACCACCAGAAAACCAGAAGTGGCACTGTGGCTCAAGTGGTAGAGTACTCACCTTGAGCTGAAGAGCTGAGGGAAAGCACCCAGGCCCAGAGTTCAAGCCCCACCACTGACCAAAAATATACATAGATTAATAATTGCTTTTGCACCTGCCCCATCTCTCAGCCCCACCCACTTAGGGTAAGTTGTTATAGTTGAAAACATCCACATTGCTAGGTACTGGCTTATGCCAGTAGTAATTCTACGTACTCGAGGGGCTGATATCTAAGGATCACTGTTTAAAGTCAGTCTGGGCAGGAAACTTTTACCTCCAATCAACTTCAAAAACAAAACAAAACAAAATCTGGACACTGGTGGCTCATGCCTGTAATCCTAGCTGCTCCAGAGGCTAAGATCTGAGGGTCACGGTTCAAATCCAGCCTGGGCAGGAATGTCCATGAGACTCTTATCTCCAATTAGCCATCAGAAAACTGGAAGTGGCACTGTGGCTCAAGTGATAGAGTACTAGCCTTGAGTAAAAAATCTCAGGGACAGCACCCAGGCCCTAGGATGGGCACACACACACACACGCAAAGTTTACACTTCTCTACATACTCACAGAAACATACCTAGAAATATTAGTGTAGGCTGGGAAAGTGGCTCAGTGGTAGAGTGCTCACCTAGCATACATGAAGCCTTGGGTTCAATTCCTCAGTAGAACATAGAAAAGCCAGAAGTGGCACTGTGGCTCAAGTGGTAGAGTGCTAGCGTTGAGCAGAAGAACCTCAGGGACAGTGCCCAGGCCCTGAGTTCAAGCCCCAGGACTGGCACTGAAAAAAAAAAAAGAAAAAAAGAAATATTAGTGTATTTATTTTATAATTCCCTTTGAATAAAAAAAAGGAAGTGAAAAATAAGTGGAAATATTTAATGGCAGTAACAATAAACACATGGAAGTCATTAAAAATGTTCACCATTTCATCTTTGATGGGTATGTTCCAGGCTCCTTGGGAGGGCTGCTCCTTGATCCTGGAGCTCACAACTTGTGTGACTCTCCTGTGTCTGTGTCAGGTAGCCAGCAAGTGAGGGGAGATTTCTGACCTTGACTCTTTTGCAGATTATTAAAGACCTACAGCTGCTAGGTTTGGTGGCTGCTTTGGTGATGGCTGATGTGATCCTGCTTGTGACATGGGTGCTGACTGACCCCATCCGGTGCCTCCAGCTCCTCGGGGTCAGCATGACGGTGAGGCCTCCAATCCCTGGGAAGTCCAAATCCTGACCTGGGCTGTCCTCCATGATACACAGGGCCATTTTCCCAGCAGTGTCCACTGAATGGCCATCTTTGCAACAGGAAGATGACAGTGAGGACAGTCAGAAGCTGTAGCTGTCATGCGTGCCCTACTCCTTGTCTGCAGGCCTACCTCTACCTGTCTTTTTGTTTTGTTTTATATTGTTTTATTTTTTTAATGCCAACAATGGAACTTGAACTCAGAGCCTGGCCACTGTCCCTTAGCTTTTCATCCAAGGCAGGATGGCACTCTACCACTCGAGCCATAGCTCTACTTCCAGTTCTTTCCATCCTTCCTTTCTTTCTTTCTTTCTTTCTTTCTTTCTTTCTTTCTTTCTTTCTTTCTTTCTTTCTTTCTTTCTCTTTCTTTCTCTCTCTCTCTTTCTCCCTCTTTCTCTTTTTCTCTCTTTCTCTTTCTTTCTTCCTTCCTTCCTTTCTTTCTTCCTTTTTCTTTCTTTCTTTCTTTCTCTTTCTTTCTCTCTCTCTTTCTCTCTCGCTCTTTCTCTTTTTCTCTCTTTCTCTTTCTTCCTTCCTTCTTCCCTTCCTTCCTTCCTTTCTTCCTTCTTCTTTCTTTCTTTCTTTCTTTCTTTCTTTCTTTCTTTCTTTCTTCCTTTCTTGGAGTTAATCAGAGATAAGAGTCTCATAGATTTTCCTGCCAGGCTAGCTTTGAACCACAATCCTCAATTCTCAGCCTCTTGAGTAGCTAGGATTACAGGTGTGAGCCACTGGCACCCTGTTCCACTAACTGTGAGAGATAGAGGCAATCTGTGGCAGCAGTCAGCCTGGATTCCAATCCCAGCTCTACCAAGCTCACCAGCCACTCAATCTTGGGAAACTGATTTAACTTCTCAAAGTCTCTTTTCTAGGCAGGTAAGATGAAGGTAATACTACTACTGCACACCTCTTAAGATTGGGGTGATGATTAAGAAAAATAATTCAGGAAGAGCAGCACTTAATGGGCCTGATGTATAGATTTCCAGAAACAGGAAGTGTGATAGGTCCCCGGCCTTGCAAGGGGCTGAGGAGTAGCTACAATAGAATTGTAGCCTCCCAGGATCCAGTGTGTGAGGATCTAGCTGTTTGCAAATAATCATCCATGCTATTACATCGTCATAGTGCTGGGACACTGCTGTAAACCATGACTGAGGGGTAAACCCTCTGCACCCAGCATCCACTCATGTGCTTACCTTTGTCATCCATCATTCTCAGTGGAACTCTGATGGCACCACCTACATTTTCCAATTTTGACATGCTGAGGGGAAATTCTGTGCTCTACCATGTTCATAGAGATCTGCTGTGTGGTCCTGGTAAGTGTGGGTGTGTCAGTCCTGGCCTTGTGTCCTCTCAGGTAACAGGGAGAGAGGTGTCCTGCTCTCTGACCAACACACACTTCTGTGCTTCACGCTACTCCGATGTCTGGATTGCTCTTGTTTTGGGATGCAAGGTTAGTAAACCACATCTCTTTGGGAAGAAGTCTGCATGTCAGCAGCAAGATGGACATGAAGCTGGGCGCTGGTGGCTTATGTCTGTAAACCTAGTTACTCAGGAGGCTGAGAGCTGAAGGTCATGGTTTGGAGCTAGCCTGGGCAGGAAAGGCTGTGAGACTCTGATTAACCATCAAAAGAAAAAAAAAGCTGGAAATGAATTTGTAGCTCAAGTGGTAGAGTGCTAGCATTGAGCCAAAAAGCTCAGGGACAGTGCCCAGACCCTGATTTCAAGCTCCAGAGCCAACGCACACACACACACACACACACACACACACACACACACACACAATCTGGACATAAAAGGGGAATTACAAGAGTTTTTGAGATCTGTTAGTGATGTCTGCAAAACATGTTTAGCTCAGAGGAGACCTTTTTGGGTGCATAAATCCCAAAGCCATGACCCTTTATTTCCTCTAATTCTTATCTCTTTGGAGGGTTACTTTTACTCTTGGTCCCTCATTCAGTCTTCCTCCAAATCATCAGCAATTTACCCACTGTCTCTCCTGTCTGATTTTTCAGGCTGATTCAGTAACAGCTCTTTTCTCCTCAGCTCTAGTTTTATAAGAGGAATTATGAAAAAATATTCCATTCACTTAATTTGTTCTGAGTGCCTTTACTATGTCCCTGTGTCTTTGTGAAGACTTGAATCAGAGCTGGGAATGGTGGCCCATGCATGTAATCCCAGCTTGTTGAAGTAGAAGGATGATGATGAGCTTGAAGCCCACCCAGGCAAAGTTAGCTAGAGCCTATCTCAAAAACAAAGAGCCAGATACCAGGGGCTAATACCTGTAACCCCAGCTACTTACAAAGTGGACACTGGGAAGGTTGATGTTTGAGACTAGCTGGGCAAAAGTTTACCAGACCATTTCAACAAATAAGCTGGGTATGGTACTTCATACTATAATCCCAGCTACATGAAAAGTGTAGGTTAGAAGGATTATTCAAGCTGGCCTAGCCACAAAGCATGAGACCCTATCTGAAAAATAACCAAAGCAAAAAGAGTTGAGGGAGTGACTCAAGTGGTAGAGTGCTAGCAATTAGACCCTTGAGTTCAATCCTTAACATTAAAAATAATAATGTTAAAAAAAAAACAGCCAACAACCAGGTATCATATTGCCATTTACCTGCCTCCTTTTTTTTTTTTTTTTTTTTTAAATCAGTCATGGGGCTTGAACTCTGGGCTTGGGCACTGTCCCTCAGTTTTTTAGCTCAAGATGAGCACTCTACCGCTTGAGCCACAGTGCCACTTCTGGTTTTCTAGTGGTTTATTGGAGATAAGAGTCTCACAGACTTTCCTGCCTGGGCTGGCTTTGAACCGTGAACCTCAGATCTCAGCCTCCTGAGTAGCTAGGATTACAGGCATGAGCCACTGGCGCCAGGCTTTTTTATTGTTATTATTATTATTCTTTTGCCAGTCCTGGGGTTTGAACTCTGGACCTGGGCACTGTCCCTGAGCTTCTTTTACTCAAGGCTAACTCTCTACTACTTGAGCCACAGCCCCACTTTCAGCTTTCTCTATGTATGTGGTACTGAGGAATCAGGCTTCATATGTGCTAGGCAAGCACTCTATCACTAAGCCACATTCCCAGCCCCTTGATGACTTTTTGCCTCACAGTATCCCTTACTCCCACCTCCCATCTTTTTTTTAAAGTTTTTTACTGTAAAAATACTGTACAGAGGGGTTACAGTTACATGAGCAAGGTAATGAGTACATTTCTTATCCAGCATCGTTGCCTCCTCCTTTGTCCCCTACCATCCCTTCCCTCCCACCTCCTCAGCTACACTCCGCCCAGCCCCCACCTAAATTGTAAAGTTCATTTTTCAACATGGTATCTTGTACATCTCATTGTTACAGTGGGTCAACCTGTATCTCTAAACATTTTGTTTTTTTCCCTTCCCCAAATTAGAGAAGTGTATATGCAAGATGCAGGATACCAACATCAAATACAGCGAATGTAACAGGGGTTATACGGTGGTGGAGGAACATACAAAGCAGCACAAAAATAAATAAATAAAAATAAATCACATGGTACATTATAAATATGTTAGAAACAATAGCAAGAAAGATAAAACCACTTGTGTCCCTATCTTGGGGTTGATTTCACTTAGCATCATCTTATCTGGCTATAGGTACATAGCTTTTGACCTTTTCTACTTGTCCCAGACACATACTTGTTATGCAAATAAGGGAAAACATGGACCTAAGTTTCTTTCCACCTCCCGTCTTTAAATTCATTCAGCTCCCATTCACTAAGGGAGTTCTCACGACCCTCTTGTTGGCTGGGTTTCAGCTTCAAGGAGCAGAGAACTGGCTCTGCGGGCAGAGGGAAGGACTGCATCTGGGACCAGAGCTCTGCAGTCTCACTTGCTAGGTTGGTGCTTTACCACTTGCACCATGCCTTCAGCCCAGCTTTTTGCTGGCAATTAGAGATGGGAGTCTAGCAGACTTATTTTGGGGGGGGGGGGGTGGGCTGGCTCTGAATGATAAGCCTCCAAATCCTAACCTCCTGAGTGGCTTGGATTACAGACATGAGCACCCACCCAGGCTGTCTTGGTAATTTGGCACTTGGCACACAGTCGACAAGCAGGCGGCTGTATGGTCTGAATGTCACAGAGTATTTGTTGGAGCTGTGATTTGTAGGTCGGCAGCTCTGCTGGGGAAGAGCGCTGCAAGCTGTGTGCTGTGGCTGTGATTTTCATGTCCTGAATGCAAGTGGGAACTCAGAGAGCAGCCCTGCACTTGTGGGGAGAGGAAACAGTAGGATCCCGACTCCCTTCCCATGGGGGTGGGGATGTCCCAAAGCAGGGGCAAGTACAGATAAAGTGCCTGCTGCCTTGGCTCTGCGCAGAGTCCTTCGCTCCCAGCCTGCCTTTGTCCTCTCTCCCCTCCCTTTCTCTCCAGCAGCCCTGCTGCACCAGGCCCTGCAGAGTCAGGGCCTTTGTGTGAGACAGAAAGCCACCTGCTTTCTAGACAGACACCTCCATCTTGCAGGCACAGAATGTGAGGAGCCAATGGGGACTCCCCCTTCTCATCCCAGCCGACAAGCAGACCCCCTCAGCTTCCTGTGGAGCAGAACACAGCAGCAGGGGTCTCTTGTAGTGCCGGCCACCCCTGTCAGGCCAAACCCATATCAGAGGCCAGCAGGACTCCCTGTGACAGGGAAGAAGGCAGTGTTTAATAAGAACCTACTGCCCCTAAGCAAACCCTCCTCAGTCCTTTACAGCAGATACGACTAGCTCTGTTTTACAGATGAAAACATTGCCCCCCACCCCAGGTTTTTTTTTTGTTTGTTTGATTGATTTTTTTCCCCTTTTGGTGATACTGAGGATTGAACTTAGGGTTTTCCATTTGCTAATCAGGCTCTCTACCACTTGAGGCTTTCCCCCAACCTTTTCTTTTTTGGCTTGTATTACTTTTGCCAAGTCCAGCTTCAGACCTTGATCCTCTCTGCCTTCTGTGTAGCTGGGATTACAGCTGTGTGTCACCATGCCAGACTGTTCTTTTCAAGTATGGTCGCACTACCTTTTGATGAGCTGGCCTCCATTGAGGGATCCTCCTGCCTCTACCTCCCCAGTAGCTGGGATCATAGGTATATATACACCACCACACCTGGCTACTGCTTTATCTGGTTCCCCCGGCTCCCCACCTCCACCTCCAGGGGCTGCTGCTGCTGTATGGTGCCTATCTAGCTGGCCTGACTGACCACGTCAGCTCTCCTCCTGTGAACCAGTCTTTGACCATCATGGTTGGGGTCAACCTCCTGGTGGTCACAGCCGGGCTGCTTTTCGTGGTCACCAGATACTTGCACTCCTGGCCCAACCTGGTGTTTGGACTCACATCGGGAAGCATCTTCATTTGCACCACCACGGTGAACTGCTGCATCTTCATCCCCCAGGTGAGCCTGAAGGAGAACTCTCCAACCTGGTCCTTCAGTCACTGCAGGGTCTGCTGGCCTGAGGAGCATGCATGCTCCTTTCGGCCAGTGCCCTTCCATGCTTCTACTGGAGAGGCTGGAGGAAGGCGGGGCCTCCTCTGCCCCTCCTCATTGGCCTTGGGGAGCACAGCTCCGCCTCCCCCCCCCCCCCCCCCCCCCCCCCCCCCCCCCCCCCCCCCGCCCCCAGTCAGCCGGCCAGAGGCAGAGGCACAGAACCGGCTCTCTCACCCACCCTCCAGCTGACTTCATTTCTTCCCCTGCCCCCGCCCCCCCCCCCCCCACACCTCAGCCCCTGTTTCTGGGAGAGAGGGAAGGGAGAGAAGGGAAGGGAGGGAAGGTCTTTCTTTCCAATTAAGATCACAGACTCCCAGGGGAAAATGTGTTTGGAGCTCTGTGACTTCAAATGCTTTTCCTTTCTTTTCATTGGAGGAAATATAGAATGTTCTTTTACAACAGGGAGAAATCAAAGAATGTGTTTCATATAATGAGGATTAAGGTTGGGGGTGAGGGTGGGGCGAGAAGAAGTCTAATCAGAAGGAAGTTAGGATCAAAATTATCCAGACACCAAAGAGGAAGAAAGAAGTCAGGGGGAGACCCAGGAGGCCACAAGCTGGAAGGGAAGAGGACCTGGACTGTCCCTCTTTGCCCGAGTTCCCTGCTCACCTCCATCCTCACAAAGAGCCGGGGTCAGGCACCAGCTTCCTTCCTACTCCCTCGTAATGCTCCTCTCCCTCCTCCCAGAACTCCCTCATCTACTCTCCTCCCCAAGCAGCTGATTCTGCAGCTGCTCCCAGGTGAGCCTGGCCCAGCGCTGGCTGCCCTATCCTTTGTGCTCACCAATTCTCCATCAAGGATTCGGCAGAATCAAGACATAGGGGGAAGTTGCCAGCAACAGTGTTGGAACCTAAGGCTGAATGTTGTATCAGTGCCAAAAATCGGGGGAATATTTGCCGAATTTTTATTGTAAAAGCTGGATCAAAGAAAGCCATAGAGAATGTCTGTGATGATGCAGATCTGGTTTCTGAAAAAAAAAAAAAAAAACAAGGACTGTTCTTCCCTGGGAGATGGGAGGAAAGCAAACAGGGAGGAGCTTTTGGGGTGCCTGTTCCTTAGGCCCCAAGGCTAGCATTGTTGACTGGCTAACATCTTTGCCAACCTCCTTTGTCCTTGCTTACCTCCCCTGGCTAGGCTGAAAGAGGTAAGCATTTGTGTTGTTGGCCTCCTTTGCAGTGAGAGGTAGCCTGTGTCAAGATTGGGAACAGGAGCTGGAAGGGTGGACCACAACTGCTTCTCTGCTCTGGCTCCCTCCTGTTAGGTTTTTAAAAAGAGGTGGCCAAGTAAGAACAGCACCACGTAAGTGGTATTCAAGTAAGGGTTGGGTTTATTTAGTAGACCTGCTGAGACCAGGCAAGGTTGGCACTCCACGCGGCTGGCCCTGGGTTAGGCCTTATATAGGGTAGGGGCGGAGAAAGTTGTGTCCAGGTAAAGGGAAATGGGACCAGGTAAGAGGTGGGACCAGGTAGCAGGTGGGAAAAGGTCTGACCACATCAGATTCAGATGTGACCTCTTCCAGGTGTCCCAGTTGACTAGGTAAAGCAGGTACTGGGCGGGGTCTGCTCGCCATCCAGGAATGGACCTTACACCTCCTAGTTTTCTTGAGCCTTTATTTTTCTCATCTCTCCTCTTCTATTTTCTCTTTCATACTCTTCCTCCTCTTAACCTGACCATGATGGGAATCTAAAGAAAAAATATTTTTAAACCATTGCTGGTGGCTCACGCCTGTAATCCTTAGCTACTCAGGAGGCTGAGATCTGAGGACCCTGGTTCAAAGCCATGAGACTGTGCTCTCCAATTAACCAGTGAAAAGTGCTGGTGGCTCACGCCTGTAATCCTTAGCTACTCAGGAGGCTGAGATCTGAGGACCCTGGTTCAAAGCCATGAGACTGTGCTCTCCAATTAACCAGTGAAAAGTCAGAAGTGGAGGTGTGGCTCAAGGGGTAGAGCACCAGTCTTGAGTGGAAAAAGTGAAGCAAAATAACAAGTCCTGAGTTCAAGCCCCAATTCTGGCACGTGCATTACTTATAAGTATACACATACACGTACATCTATTGTATCTTACTTACACTTTGAAGGTAAATTCTTTTTCAAAATTTATTTTCAAATTGTATGACTTTGGTTTTTCTTTCTGGCTCAGAGGTCTCTGGTAGAAGAGTAATTTTCTCTGCCACACTTGTACTGAGTATGTCCAGGACAGTAAGAGTGTGTGAGGGGAGCTATGTGGAGGGCCAGGGGGAGATTAGCAGAGAAGTGATCTTCCTTCTGGGTTTGCCGAAGCACAAGTACCCACAACGGCCTCTAGGGGGTGTCAGAGAACTGGGTGAGATGGATGATGGAGGCGAGGGGCCCAAGTAGCTTGTACATTGAGGAAATGCCTCAGTGTTTGTGCTCAGCACTGAGGTCATCACCAGTAATCTGCCAGCTCCTGCTTTTGTGCTGTGAATGCAACCCATGCAACAACCCCTTCTCGCTCCCTCTGAGAGGCTGGTGAGTCCTGAGATAGAACCTTACTCTTTCTTCCTGCTCTCAAATCATTGCCTGAACTACTCCATAAAGATAGTTAAGACCCTCCACCTTGCCTTACAGGCATCTGCCTGTGTCCTTGAGCCCTGATACCCTGAAGAGAGTTTTAAAGGAAAGTTTCTTAGCTGGGAGCCAGTACCTCACCCCTGTAATCTTATCTACTCCATAGGCTGAGATCCAAAGATCATAATTCAAAGACAGTCTGGACCGGGAAATCTGTAAGACTCTTCTCCAATTAACAACCAAAAAGCGGAAGTGGAAGTGCTGGCCCTTGGCTAAGGGAAAAAGCTAAGGGATAGTGCCAAGACCCTGAGTACATGCCACAGTGCCAGCAGCACGCACACACACACACACACACACACACACACACACACACAGAAAGAAAAAGGAAGGAAGGAAGGGAGGGAGGAAAAGAAAAGAAAGGAAAGGAAAGGAAAGGAGGTCTTCATTTATTCAGGCATCCATCCATTCAACCATTTCTTTACTGCTGGGAACATGCCATGAACCACATGCCACACCTCTAAGTCTAATGGGGAGCAGAATGAGAAACTTAAATGACCTGTTAAGTGCTTTGAAAAAGTGGCCTTGGCCAGGCCCACTAGGGCCTAGCTACTCAGGGGGCTGAGATCTGAGGATTGTGGCTTGAAACCAGCGGAGGCAGGAAAAACCCATGAGACTCCTATCTCAATTAACTAGCAAAAAAAGCTGGAAATGGAGCCGTGACTCAAATGGTAGAGTGCTATCCTTGAGCGAAAAAAGCTCAGGAGGGCTGGCTTAGTCTAGGTAGAGTGCTTGCCTAGCATGCATGAAGCCTTGGGTTCAATTCCTCAGTACCATATAAACAAAAAGCCAGAAGTGGCGCTGTGGCTAAAGTGGCAGAGTGCTAGCCTTGAACAAAAGAGACTCAGTGAGAGTACACAGGCCCTGAGTTCAAGCCCCAGGATTGGCAAAAAAAATAAAAAAAAAAAAAAAGTAATTAAATAAATCTTTGCTAAAACTTCAAAAAAAATTCTTTAAAAATCTCAGGAACAGCTTCTGGCCCTTAGTTCAAGCCTCAGAACCAGCGCGCGCGCACACACACACACACACACACACACACACACAAGGTAGCCTCATCCTCTGTAGGTATTAGTATGTTCCCAGAAAATGGGGTGTTGGATATAAGTCTGGAAGGACTAGGAAGAATTCACTGAGCAGATGGAGAAGGGACAGTGGGAGGCATCTCAGACGGGATAACTCGATGACCGGAGAAAGAGTAGTGGGGGGAGACAGCATATGTCATGTGTGTACGTTTGGAATAAACACAAGTTTTTGCTATTTTTGAAGCACAAATGGCAACAAGGGAGAGTGTCCGGAAGCAAGAAAGGCACAAATGGTGAACTCAGAAAGCCCTGGGGTAACTGTGAGAGACTCTTTGATTTTAATACCACCGTATTAGCTTCTTGTGGCTGCCTTCACAAAGGATTACAAGTTTGATGGCTTAAGACAATAGAAATACATTATCTTCCCATTCTGGAACTCAGAAATTCCTCTAGGGGAGAAATCCTTGACTTTCCTCTGACATTGACAGCTCACCTATCCGCCTGCTTTGGCTCAAGGTCCTTTCCTTCCCTCTCTTGTGTCAGCTGTGTGGCCTCTTCCAGTGAGCCTCTGTTCCTTCAACACTCCCTACAGTCTCTATCATCTTATCTCTTCAGATGCTAATCCTCTGCCTCCCTCTAATAAGGACTCTTGTGAACCCATGGGACTCAACTGGATAATCCAGAATAATCTCCCCATCTCCAACCCCAAATCCCTCATCGCTTTGCCTTTTGTGGTATAAAGTCACATATTGAGACAGAGGAGCACCTCCCAGTGGGTCGCTCCCTCAGCCCACTACACCCACAGAGCCCCAAAGCTGAGAATGCAAGAGAAAGACCTATGCTAGAGGAGATGCTGCGAGCCCAGACAACGCTATGGCCGCATTCCAGAAACTCAGAGGGTCTCAATATGAAGGATCCTGAGCAGGTGGGGGTTGAAGGGCTTCACCTCGGCATCCTTGTCCAGCTTCAGGAGAGACCCAAAGCCCCCAACGTGCCTCACAATGGTGTGCACAGCTCCTTGGGGCCTTGCGGAGAAAGCTGACTGGAAGTGTCAGGACAAGATAGGAGCCGGGTGCCAGTGGCTCACACCTGCCTGTACTCCTAGCTACTCGGGTTGAGATCTGAGGATCCCAGTTCAAAGCCAGCCTGGGCAGGAAATTCCTTGAGACTCTTATCTCCAATAAACCACCAGAAAAACGTTAGTGGTGCTATGGCTGAAGGGGTAGAGTGCTAGCCTTAAGATGAAGAGCTGAGGGACAGCACCCAGGCCCAGAGGATCGACCAAAAAGAAAAAAGAAAAATCTGCCTATAATCCTAGCTACTCAAGAGGCTGAGATCTGAGGATCATGGTTCAAAGCCAGCCCAGGTAGAAAAGTCCATGGAACCTCAAAAAGCTGGAAGTGGAGCTCTGGCTCAAGTAATAGAGTGCTAGCCTTGAGCAAAAGACCTCGGGGACAGTGTCCAGGTGTTCAGTTTGAGCCCCAGAACCAGCACATAAAAAGAAGGAAGGAAGGAAGGAAAGAAGGAAAGAAGGAAGGAAGGAAGGGGGAGGGAGGGAAGAAAGGAAGGAAGTAGGGAGGGAGGAAAGGAAGGAAGAAAGGAAGGAAGGAAGGAAGGAAGGAAGGAAGGAAGGAAGGAAGGAAGGAAGGAAGGAAGGAAGGAAGGAAAACCTATACTGCTAGGGAGGAAGGATACTTAGAGGAAGTGGGGAAAGAACAATTTAGGAGTTGGCTTCTTCCAAGGGAGACCAGAGAATGGCCCTGTGGTGTGGGTTACAATAGCTGTGCATGAGGGAGAATGGACAGAATCCTTCTGTAGCACAGGGCCTCAAAGAGGCTCTGAGAGGGAGGTTTAGATCTCTCTTAGCAACATGCCCTAGGCTTGCAGTGCCCTAGCAACACAAGCCAAGTCAACCGAGCACCCAAGAGGTCCTGGGTCAGGCAGTGGTGCTGGAGCTGAGGATGGGGTTTCCAATCTTAACCTGAGCTCAGTGGGGTTTTGTGTTTTCTTTTTCTTCCTCGTCCCCCCCCCCCCCCACCACCCCTGACATCATTAACTACAGAATGAAGTCTTACCTGAGAGTGCTACAATTTGAATTCTGGGCTAAGGAAGGGGTAGAGGAGTGAACAACAAAGGTGTAGGTTCCTTTGGAAGTTACCCAGAGATACTTTTGCATCATGTCTCGCACGAACATATCCCCATCTCCAGAGTGCGTAACTTAGCTATGGGGAAAGAGAGGTTTCCACTACTGTGATCCCCAGTCACCTGCATTGCTGACACTCGCCACGTAGACACAGAGGCCAGCTGCTCAGAAAGCAGATCTGCCCATGCCTTCACAGGTGCTCTTCGAGGCCATGGCTTCTGCTGAAGAACTTCCTCCAGAATCTTCATAGCCAAGACTATCTCCATCAGCTATGTGGGGCATGCTGTGCACTATGTGCCCTGGTTACTGCTGGTAACTAGTAGTGGACCTAGACAAGTCATGCTCCTTCGACTTAATTGGCTAAGGAAAATCTGGTCACATGTTGGATCTAAGGTTCCACCGTTTTTATTGGCATCTGGTTTTCTATGTGTCTGAGATTTCATCCGTGATTTGGGTTAGAAGGCCACCAACAAGAAACCAGCAGGAAGCACATCATTACTCAAGAACTGAAGAATAATTAAGAGCAGTTATAAGCTGAATGTGATGGTACACACCTGTAATCCTGCCTCCTGGGAGGTGGAGGCAGGTGGGCCTAAAGTTCAAAGCTATTGGAATATTTAGAGAGAGCCTATCTCAAAAACAAACAAAACGTAGGTACAGTGACTCGCACCTGTAATCTTATGTACTTGAGAGGTAGAGATGGAGAGGATCATGTTTAGAGGCCAGTTTGGGGCAAAATGTTTGGGAGACCCCATCGCAACCAATAAAAAGCTGAACTTGACAGTGTACATCTATCATCCCAATATCTTGTGAAGCATATATATAGGAGTATTATCATCCAGGCAAGCCCAGGAAAAAAGTAAGATCCTTTTGAAAAAAAAGAAAAAAGGGCTGAGGACCTAGCTCAAGTGGTAGAATGACTGCTTAGCAAGTGCAAAATCCTGACTTTAAATCCTTGCTACATACAACTGTTTCATCTGAAATGTACCTTTGTGGTAGCTCCTAAGCTCTGGCTTTAGCATACAGTTCCAGAGTATATTTCTACTCTGCTTTTCTTTGATCTGTTTGGCAATAGGTACATAAAGAGTCTGTGTCTGTTCTGTTTCATCATCTCCTTCCCTCGCAGTCTGTGTGTGTGTGTGTGTGTGTGTGTGTGTGTGTGTGTGTGTGTGTGTGTGTGTGTGGTGACATGTGCATGGATCCTAGGCCTTGAACTCAGGTTCTGGGCTTTGTCTCTGAGCTATTTTTTTCAAGGATAGCACTCTACCACTTGAGCCACAACTCCACTTCCAGCTTTTTGGTGCTTAATTGGAGATAAGAATCTCATACACTCCTGCCTGGGCTGGCTCTGAATCGAGATCCTCAGGTCTCAGCCTCCTGAGTGGTTAGAATTATAGGAATGAATGACCAGCACTTGGCTCTCCCTAGCACTTATTAAAACTACATAATCTCAACCTTCTCTCTTTTTTCTGTCACTACATCCGTGAGCCCTGCATGAGCTCAGGGCATTTTGAAGAGACATCTGGGACAGTATCATTCCTTGGTATTTATGAGAAAGAGCCAGGGAATGTGTTTCTGGGTGTGTAATTAAATAAATAACATGTGTTCTTTTTACTAACAGCTGAAGCAATGGAAGGCATTTGAAGGAGAAAACCAAACAATCAGACACATGGCTAAATATTTCAGCACTCCCAACAAAGCCTTCCATACCCAGCTTGGAGAGGAACAGGGCTGCCAGCCGAGGGACCAGAAGAGCTCCATGGAGAGACTCCTCACAGAAGTAAGCTACATCCTGGGAAGAACTCCAGTCATGTGTGCGTGGGTGGCCCCTCAGGCTCTCCTGGCCCCCACGTGCTCCCATTGCCCAACATTCTCTTCTTCCACTCCTCCACTTTGCCCAGCAGCAAGCCAAGCCTCCTGCACATCTCCCCAGGAACCCTCATCCACCCACACATTCTTTGGACAGGTGTATATTGAGTCACTCCTGAGTGCTGGTCAGCGGGCTAAATGCTGATGCACCAAACAGTCTAGGAAAGCAAATGGATATTAATCATGGGAACATATCCTCATAAACTGTGATAAGATTTGCAAAGGAAAAGGATCAAGGTGGCAAGTCAGAATCATAGATGGTGGACATTCAAGAACCTAGCTTTGAGCAGTCAGAGAAGGCACTGAAGATGTACAAATGGGCCAGGAAATGCATTCCAGGCAAAAGGAGCAGCATTAGAAAAGCCCCGAGTTGCAGGAGATGTTCATGTCTGGGTGATAAAGTTTTTCTATACATTGAGTAGAACTCTCTTGTTCGAGATCCTTCAGGGACTCTTATGTCTTCCCCAGGTACTAAACTGTCCCAATCATCCTGTCAGGAGAACGTCCAGGCATGTCTGCAGATGTGGAAGGGACCGAGCAAGAGCTCCGAGTGTCATCACAGCCATCTCAGTACAGGCCTGGGCAGCCCTAGCATTTCTTTCTTTTGTGCTGGAAGCAGAGTTGGCCCTTCTCCCAGTCAAGTGCTGTGTGGGCTTGAGGCATGCACGTGGACAAGCTTGAGGACTGCATTTCTCAGGAAGAAGGCCCTGGGGGATTAGTCAGTATTTTGACATTAACTAGATCACATTCCATACATACATACATTTATATGTTTTTTTTCTTTGTAAGTTCAAAACATACCTGAGTAGGTTGGGGGTGCCAGTAGCTCACACCTATAACCCTAGCTACTTAGGAGGCTGAAAGCTGAAAATTGTGGTTCAAAGCCAGACTGGGCAGGAAAGTCTGTGAGACTCTTATCTCCATTTAAACACCAAAATGTCATAAGTGGAGCTGAGGCTAAAATAGTAGAATGTTAGCCTTGAGCAAAAATAACTTAGGGACAGCACGTGGGCTCTGAGTTCAAGTCCCAGGATTCACACACACACACACACACACACACACACACACACACACACACACACACACACACACACACCTACCTTAGTAGATGTTATTGGGAAAAGTGTACTGTGAGTTCAAGTCCCAGGATTCACACACACACACACACACACACACACACACACACACACACACACACACCTTAGTAGATGTTATTGAGAAAAGTGTACTGTTTAGTGATGGGACTGTGTCCACAGGTATGGTCTGTCCTGTAAGGGATAGTGTAACAGGGCCCTAAGAAGACCCTGGATGAAGGCAGGGTCTGCCTAGCCACCCATAGACCCTGCCCTGGCCTCCCACATCACCTTGTAACTTAGTTCCAAGATCTTTTCTACCTACCAGATTTCCTTACTATATTAGTAAGCATTTAGGACATCCTTTCAAAGACAGATTCTTGTCTTGGAGGATCCGTGAAGTATTCAAAGCAGCATTTTATTCCAGCTACACAGAAACTTGGCCAGCACTAGCCGGATGGTTTTCATTTACAATCAGTAAGTGCTGGAACAGCCAAGCAGAATGGCCCTCTGGCCTTATGGTAATTCGTGACGTGCTTTCTGTACCACTGCCACGCTACGCTGCTTCCCACGCAGCGGGTGAATCTACTCTCTCCTAAGGGGTGCCGAACTGTCTGTAGAGGGCAGACCCTGATGGGAGCAGGTTCCTAAGCTACACCAAGTTGCCTTTCTAGCACCCACTGCACTCAGAACAGGCCTGAGAAGGAGCAGCTAGTCCTGGGACCCCTGGCTGGCTGGAAAGTGAAGGCCCATCATCTGCAGTCCCAGAGCCAGCCCTCTCCAAAGAACCTCTCCTGTCCACATGTGTGCTGAGCCGTGGTGCAGCCTCCTGGTTTGCAGATCCCTATCTGCAACCCTCGGCTTCTGGGGCCTTCCTCTTCCTTTCCCATGATCTCATTCTGGCCTGTCTAGCGGGGGCTCCCCCAGAAGATGCTAAGGGCAGCAGCTACCACTGACTTCCCAGTCTCCTATGAAGGCAGCAGGCGGAACCTTCTCAGAGAAGCAAGAGGTGGGCTCTGTGTCTGTATAGGACCCACACCCTGTGAAATGCTCCTGTGGACATTTTGCTTCTCCCACCTTGCCACAAGTAATCATTCATAAGCTCATTTAGAAGCAGTTCCCACAGGAGGTTGGGTTTGGGCCTCATGATGACTGGTTCTTGTACCAGGCCTCTAATTAGAATGTGACTTATGGCGAACACAGAGGCCCCTTCCTTCTGGAGAGGAAGGAAATCCACTGTTTACGCTGATGTTTCTAAATCCGTTGCTAGCCAGCTTCAGATGTTTGCTTTGCTAGGAGAAGACTAGCCTTCTCCTCTCAAGGTTTAGGCTATTTTCCTGCACTCAGAGGAGCTTGTGAGAAAGGCACAATGAAAACAAGAGGCTGGCCTCAGATGTTACCCACTGCTGTATTGTCATAGATATGGCTTCTTCCTAGTGAAGGGAAGAGGTAAAGGAGTAAAGGTTGCCTAGGCCAGCATCATTCAGGGGAAGAGAGAGGAGAAAGGGAGAAAGAGGAGAGAGGAGAGAAGAAGAAAGTGGGAGAGAAAGAAGAGGGCAGGGGAAGGGAGGTAAGGGAGAGAAGGCGAAGGTCAGTGTCTCTCTGAACCATCACAGGTACACTGGGATCCACAGGAAGGAAATCTGGAAATCTCCCAGGTATCATAAACCATCGGAATGTTCCCTAGGGACTTGTCCACTCTGCCCCCACTCACCCAGCAGTACCCAGGCCCCACCACCTTGCAGGGAGAGAGAGGGAGATTAGGCAGGAAGGTCTTCCCTGAACATACCCTACGTCCCAAATAGTAAAAACGTAGACTAAACCAGAGGGAAAATGGGAGTACCAAAACAAGAAGCTACAGCCCCAGCTCACTGCTGTACCTCAGAAAGATAGCCAGAGTATGGTTGTGCTCTGCCCATCTACTACCACCTCTCCTATTTCCTGCCCTACAAGATTGCAGTGAGGATGTACACACCTTCACCGCTGTCACCTGCCAGCCCTCCAGGCCACAGCTGGTTTATCCACTGATGTCCATGCAGTAGGGCAGGAAAGCTCAGTTGCAGAACTGCCCTGGTCTCATTCATCTTCTAGACTCCATTCTAGGGTAATTAAGTCAAGCCACCAGGAACGCAGCCTCGACAATTTTTTTGTCTGCTTATTTGTTCTAATGTATAATGTTTCTTTTCTATATAATTATTATAACATATCAATTAAGCAAATGAATAGATTTCACTGCATAAATCACGTCTGTCTATTCTACTTCTCCTCCCCGCCCCCCATCACCTCTCTCTGGCGCCCTGCCTAGTCCCTAATAGGCCCTAGTCTATTTTTAGGTCATTTTTCATATGTCCATACGTGAAAGAAAATATGAAATATTTGTCTTTGTGTGTCTGGCTTATTCCATTTAATATGATGTCCTCCAGTTCTATTTTCCTGCCAAGTGACGAGATTCTTCTTTATGGCTGACTGATAGTCCGTTGCATATTTTGAGGAGCCCCCATACTGATTTCCATAGTAATTGGATGAATTTGCATTCCTACCAACTGTATAAAGGTTTTCTCTCTCCATATCCATGACAGCATTTTTATTTTTAGTTTTGCTTTTGTTTTATTTTCGAGGATAGCCATGCTAGCTGGAGTGAAATCAAATCTTAATGTAGTTTTGATTTTTCATTTTTCTGATAGCTGAGGACGGTTCAACTTTTTTCATATATTTTGTCATTTTAAGTTCTTCTTTTGAGAAAGATCTATGCAGATCATTTGCCAAGTTCTTAATTAGATTCCTTTTGTTGTGGTTGTTTTGAGTTCTCTATATATTCTGGCTACTAATCCCATTAGGTGAATAGCTGGCACGTGTTGCTGCTACCCTGTTGATTTCATCTCTTTGCTATGGTAATTGTTTCCTTTGCTGTGCAAGAAGCCTTTTTGTCTTGATGTAATCACACTTGCTAATTCTTGCTTTTGTTTCCTGTTAAGCTTCTACAAAAATTCTGATGTGCTCATTCTTTAGAAGATATTGACTGGGCTGGGAATGTAGGATTAGTGGTACAGTGCTTGCCTAGCATGCGTGAAGCCCTGGCTTCAATTCCTCTGTACCACATACACAGAAAAAGGCAGAAGTGTGGCTCAAGTGGTTAGGGTGCTAGCCTTGAGCAAAAAGAAGCCCAGGGACAGTGCTCAGGCCCTGAGTTCAAACCCCAGGACTGGCACACACACACAAAAAGAAGATATTGACAGTGGACATTGCCATGTGGTAACTGCAGCCTCTCATCCCCAGAGAGCCAGCCCAGGGAGGTGATGACACCAGCCCCGAGTCTGGCGCCAGGGTGATTTGTTTGGACCACAAATCACTACCTTTCTCCTCATTCTTCACATTTTCCAGGCTGCTTAGCAAGAGACAAACTATTTATTTCTCCATTTGGTCATCCTTGGGAGATATGCTTCAGGTTCATCACTAGTTATCAACAAGTGTGGGAAAACCCAGAAGGAGATCATTTTGAACACTATCAGGCTGGCATCCTGCAGGTGATAGGACCCTGCTATCCCCAGCAAGCAGCTGAGCGAGGCCTCCTCCCTCCTCACAGATGGTGTCACCCTCTGGGGATGGAAATGAGTAAAGAGCAGAGCAACAATACAGCATGGTAGCCTATATTGAGTGGGGACCGTAAGCCTATGATTGCACATCAGTTCATTGCATCTGATGAAGGAATCCCCTCACAGCCTGCTCCAGAATGTGGGAAGACCAGGGATTTAAACCAAAGTCTTCAAATGGCTCACTTTCTCCATCTTGTGAGGTAGTATAGAACCCTTAGTGACACCTTTGGATGATGATTTTGCTTGTGTATTACAGAAAAATGCTGTGATTGAAAGCTTGCAGGAACAAGTAAACAACGCTAAAGAGAAGCTAGTGAGACTGATGGATGCTGAGTACACCTATGAAGCCCCAGAGCTGGCTGCCTCGGTCCCAGCTGCAGCCTCTGCCCGTGAGCTGGCAGCTCAGGGGCCTTCAGGATGCCCCTCTGCTTCTCAGAGTGATGCCCTCCCGGCTGCTGCAGACTCCCTGTGTAGCTCAGGCTCCTCCCCACAAGTGCAAAGCCCTAGAGCACCTGACCAGAATGCTAGCCCCTTCCCAGGCCAGGAGAAGACATCTGACTTCAAAAACTTTACCGACCATTTACATTCAGGTTGTAGCCAGAAGCTACAGGTGGAGCAAAGCCAGGGTCCACAAAGAGGAGACCAGGGACCCAAAGCCTCCCATCAGAGCTGCGTGCCAGATGGAGGGGCCTGTGATCCCCAGAGACAGACCACAGAGGAGCCCTCTGGGGTACTACCTAGGGTCAGTTCAGTGGTCAGAGAGAAGCTGCGCGAAGTTTTACAGGAGCTGAACCTGGACCCTGAGGGTCCCCTCCCCACATCCCCATCCTGCCCTCAGAAGCCCTGGAAGAGCAGTGCTGCCCGCAGCCCCCAGAAGCTGCTCCTGTCTAGGGAGCTGGGCTTCAGTCCATATGTGGTGCGGCGGAGGCGTGCGGCCCAGCGTGCTGGCTCCTATCTCCCTGGCTCCGTACCCTCCCACGGGAGGCATCGGGCAGGCAGGACTGCAGGTGGGGCACACAAGGGGCTGAATGTCAAGAATGAGGAGAGCCCTCAGCAGACCCTCCAAACTGCAGATACCAAGTTACCAAGGCCCTCTTCCAAGAAGCCTTCACCACTCCCAGATTCTCCAGGGAAGCCTAGTACACTGGAGGGTGTCAAACGATGCCAGACTGAATCTCCAGAGGGAATGGGACACCACGCAGCCTTTCTTCACCAGCCCTCTGTTTCTACCCAGGCACAAAGACCCTCTGTCCCATGCTTGTCCCATTCATCAGATCTACCTGGATGGCAGCAGCTTCAGCTCCCCGGGTCATCCATCTGGCCCTCCTTGTCTGCTCATTGCAACTACCTAGACACGGAGTCCAGCAGCTCTGACGAGTTCTTCTGCCGCTGCCACCGGCCTTACTGTGAAATCTGTTTCCAGAGCTCCTCTGACTCCAGTGACAGTGACACATCAGACACTGACCCTGAGCTTGCCAGGGGGCTGGCCTCCTGGGAAAAGCTGTGGGCCCACTCCAAGCCCATTGTGAACTTCAAGGATGACTTGAAACCCACACTGGTGTGAGAAGCAGCAGCACAGGTCTGGACCAAGTGGTCAGTTCAGGTCCAGCCAAACCAAGGCCTGAGAGGGAGATCAGTCCTGTGCCTATTCTACCTAGCCCTGATCTTATTCTAGTGCAGCTCTCTGTGTTACTGCAGCATGATGTACAAACAGGGGTATTGCCTGCCTGCTACTACCTCACAGCAGGCTCCTGACTCCTTGAATCAAAGGTGCTAAATGAGCACATTAGAGGGTTGTTGTGTTTTTCTTTCTTTCTTTTTTTTTTTTTACCTCCAGATCAGCCAGCTTTTACAAAACATCATATAAACCAGATGTCCCACTGGATGGACAGAAAGAGGGAGAGATGGGTGAGAGATTTCTGAGAATGTACCTTGTAGATTGTGATCTGTGGAATGAGCCTTCGGTGGACACCCCTGACACTCTTGGAAGGGCTACTTTTCTTTCTGCTTGAGGGTTGTAAACACTGCCACTCTGATTCCTGTCCTGGGCAGACTCAGATCAAGGGACCTGCTATCCAACTATTCTTTCTTCCTGCCCATCCACCATCATAGTACCTCACTCACCATCTTCCCGTAGACAGTCTGCCCCAACCCAGATCTCTCTCCTGGCCCAGGTACTACCACACCATCTTCCAGTGGTATGGTGCTATCTTGGGGGCAAACACCAGCAATTTCTTTTTCAGGAGAAGGCCCTGCTGGTCAATAGGTGCTTTTATTATCATTGAGTCTGCATGATCACTAAAGATGCCTAAATCTGGACATAAAATGGGAAAACAGGAAGGAAGAGATTGATGACAAGAAGGCAAGAAACAGGTTGTGAATATTTCTCTTGAGACTACCTAGCTACATGGCAACATTAAATTATAGTAATTCCTTATGAAGTGACTTCTCCAATGGCACCACTGCCGAAGAGCAGCTGATGGAGAGTTTGAACCTGTTGCTGGGTCTTCCAAGTGGGCGGATTCCTCTGGGGAGGTATCTCTTTGCTTCTTCTTGTGGGAGTGGCAGATGCCACTGGGCATCCAGCCAGGAAGCTGAGATGTGTTCACCCTGAAGAACAAAGCTGGGTTCCTGTCCCCACCCCCAACCCCCCCATCCCTGGGAAGCAAGCCTACACTTCCTTCCTTCCAGCGTCTGGGATGCACCTGCACCTCCCAGTGGGAGCAGGGAGCTGAGAAAGAGTGAGTGCCAGGAACTGAGCCATCACCAAAGCCACAGGGGCAGCACATCTGGGTCCACTTTGCTTGTGGTTAAGCTGGTTGTGATTTACAAGCTGCCCTCTCTCCCACACCCTTGCTGCATCTGGGGGTGTGCATAGAGTTCACAAAGAAATTTGGACCTTGGAGGAGGCATTTGGCACTAAATGCCTCTTAGATTTATCACAGACTCTCCAGGTATGGTGACCCCTCCTGAACTTCCAACTGCTAGACCCAGTGGTCTTCCTGAAGAAGCACAGCTTCTTTTGTTGTCTACTTTCAATGCAAACTTCCTACTTTATTCTGTGTGGGGCTGTGTAGTTTCTGTGTGTATTGTTTGTGCGCTATGGTATTGGTATCTTAATAAAAATGACTCTCCGTGGAAGTTCCATCTGAGATAGTAGTCTTGAACTGGGGAGGTAAGTCCCTAGCGAAGACTGAAGCACTGAAGAAGATGGAATCCAGAATCCATCACAGTTTCTACAGGATTCCCTGGGGCTCCACATATAGCTTCAGCCCAGCTTCCATTTGTAACAGATTCTGTGGCTCTGCAGTCTTCCTATCCCGGACACATTCCCCCTAGTGGTCAGAGGAAACACTTGAGACTCTGGCCTTCACACCAGTCCTGGCCTGGCTGGGCTTCGCCACCCCCAGTTCTCCTCCACCTACTGTGCCTCTACCAGCAACCTACTTATTTGTTTCTTGATGTGGAACCTGGTCATCTCTCTAGCCTTTTCTCTCATCTGCTTCTAGATCTCAGTCCCACTTGCCCAGCATCCCCACACCTCCACCTTCATCCATCTAGAATTTCTTTCCTCACATAGTGAACCTTACAAATTGTCTGTGCTTCAAGAATAGGGTGGAAGTCAGGCATCAGTGCTGTCTCTGATCCCAGCCACTGAGGAGGCTGAGATCACAGTTTAAAGCCATCCATGGCAGACAAATCCAAGAGACTGTTAATTCCCCCATTAACCAGCAAAAAGCTGAAATGGATCTGTGGCTCATGTGATAGAACCCCAGCCTTGAGTTGGAAGAATACAAGGCCCTGAGTTCAAGCCCCAGTACTGAGGCTTGAGCAACAACAAAAAGATGGTGGAATGCACATGCTCTCTTCATTTTTCTTAAAAGTGTCCCAAAATAAAACTGATAATCTCTGGTTAAATGCGGATGGTTGTTTGAGAGTCTGTGTTTTGGATTCAGCTGTGCAGAGGCTTCACTAACACATTTTTGCCTAGAATGACTTTGTAAACTGGACTAGACATGGGTGAAAAGGTAGAGTCTCTCCCAAATTCTTCTTATAATTAGATTTTAAAACTATCTGCAAGCCAGGGACTGGTGGCTCATGCCTGTAATCCTAGCCACTCAGGAGGCTGAGATCTGAGGATCGTGATTCAAAGCCAGCTGGGGCAGGAAAGTCCATGAGACTCTCATATCCAATAAACCACTAAAAAACACTGGAAGTGGCTCTGTGGCTCAGCGGTAGAGCACTCACCTTGAGCTGAAGAGCACAGGGACAGCGCCCAAGCTCAGAGTTCAAACCCCACGACTGACAAATTAAAAAAAAAAACTATCTGCAATCCCTCTGTACAGCATCTTTATAATAAAATAAAATAAAAACAGTAAAAAAAACTCTCTGCCAGGGGCTGAGAATGTGGCTTAGTGATAGAGTGCTTGCCTAATGTGCATGAAGCCCTGAGTTTGATTCCTCAGTACCACATAAGCAGAAAAAGCTGAAAGTGGTGTGGCTCAAGTGGTACCGTGCTAACCTTGAACAAAAGCTCAGGGACAGGGCCGAGCCCCCAAGTTCAAGCTCCAGGACTGACAAAACAAAACAAAACAATAAAAGCCCGTGTGCCAAGCACTATGATTCTGTGCCCGAAAGGTTTGTCTTCAAATTGTCACCTGGTGACCCATCGCCTCTTCTCATCAGCTCCTTTCCTAAAGCATTTTCCCAAGATGGGCTAATCCAGTGATGACATTTTCAATGGCATCAAGTGTGCCATTGACTTTTGGCATGTGCTTTGTTATGCTCTTGAAGAAAGTGCAGTAAATTGTGCAAAGGAATCCTGGAGAAGTAAACAACGCCTCTGCTGCCGTCAGCAGGCAGGCAGCCATCATCGGAAGGTGTGGCCTAGAGCCAGCCCCAATTCTGCCCCCAGAGTATATTCTCTGCTCACTGAAAATCTTGGGGCTGGACAGCTTTATAACAAAGGTCTACCACTATTTCCCGACCTGCCCCAAACCCTCTTACCTTGAAAAATCAACCAGGAAAAAGCATCAGATGTAAGAAGCACTTTTTTTGGCCAGTCCTGGGACTTGAACTCTGTGCTTTGTCACTGTCCCTAAGCTTCTTTTTCTCCAGGCTAACACTCTACAGCCGCAGCACCATGTCCAGCTATTTCTCTGTACGTGGTACTGAGGAATGGAACCGAGGGCTTCATGAATGCTAGGCAAGCACTCTACCACTAAGCCACATTCCCAGCCCCAGGAAGCATATTTTTAAAGAACCTCATCACTCCAAAAGTGATAAGGAGAAAAATTAATGTGTGTTGCCTAACGTCTCTTCTATGTATGAACTGGTCATGGTGGCACAAGCCTGTAATCCAAACTACTTGAAAGGCAGAGCCTGAAAGATCACAAGTTCAGGGACAGCCAGGGCAACGTTAACAAGACCCTATCTCAATAAATTAAAAAAAATAAGGGGTGGGGGTTCATTTGCAGTGGTAGAGTGCTTGCTGAGCAACATGAGAACCTAGGTCTAATTCCTAGTACTGCAAAATAAATACATCCTTTGTTTTTATTTATTGCATCACCTGTAGATGTGTCTCCTCCACAAGGGAAAGTTCATGAAATTACTAAGCGTGACTACTTTGCCTCTCCTCCACAGTAGCCATCAGTAAAGCTTTCCCCAAAGTCTACCAGCAAGTGCATCATGAGTAGTTTTCCGAAGACCAAGCAAAGGAAGGCAAGGCAACAAAGAAGAAAGGCAAATACATTCCTTTCTGTGGGGCCAAAGCATGGCATGGAAAGGGAGGCCGAGCCATCTGGTGTCTGTGTTTTCCACGGCATTAGGAGCATGAAACACCACCACCATCAGCCCCAGAAGTAGCTGCATTCTGAAAATGACAGTGCTTCAAGTCTCTTGGGGAGAGGTGGGCCAGGGTAATGGAGTTCATGGAAAAGAAGCCAGAGAGTTCTTTTGACAAAGTTCTCTTCTGCAGTCCTTGGGTAGCAAGGATTTTTTTCATCCTCCTCTCTCCTTCCTAATTCCCTTTGTCAGAGCCTCTGACAGCAAGTTCTCCATTCCCTCCAGCTGGGTTTCCCACTTTTTCAGTGTTCCCTCTCCAAACACTGCTAGACTCTGTTCAGGGTGCATTCAGCTGAGAGCTGAAGAGCACCCTCTACCTGGTCCTCAGCCTGGCCCTCCCTCACCTCTGGTGCCCACTCTCATCTCTTTCTCTCTGAAATAGTTCTTATCTGGCAGCCCCAAGTACACTGCCTTTGAAGAAGGGAATGCATCAGGATGTTAGGTTCGCTAAAGACAGGAAATACCAGTGTCACAAGGGAAAATAACCTGTTGTGAGCTTGACAGATCTGGGTCAGGGTTTCCCAAGATGTGTGGACTCAGAGAAGGAATGCTCTGGAGAAGCTCTGGAAAGAGCTGTGTGACTAAGAGAAAAACAGAAAGACAGAAGGATAGTGCTGGTTGGGACTCAGCAAACAAATGTTGATCAAAACAAAGAAATCAAAGAAGGAAAGGTGGACCAGCCCAAATCTGGGAAGTTGAGTTCACTGGTCTCTTATCTGT